TGACTTGAGAGATCAATAGTCCAATGGCTTCAAGGAGGAGATAGAAACATGGGTTGAAATGGACGAAATTTGCAACTGGAAAGATGGGAAATAGGATTCTGATAATCTGTATGCTTTTAATTTAGCACTTGTGGAAAAGCAAGGGTGCAGATTGTTCCAGAATACAAATGCGTCTTTGTCACAAAGTAGTAGAGGTAGGGGTGCAAATGAGACGAGATAGATCGTGAGTTACTCAAGATCGATTTGGTCAAAGCTCGGTCGACTCGAGTTTTTAACGAGTCAAAACGAGCTACTTGATACTTGACTCGAAAGGCTCGCAAGCAACTCTAAAATATAATATATTAAAATTTTATTTTTAAAAATCAAATTATTATTAATAATATTAATATTTGTGTTGGTTTTTTTAAAATATAATATAAGGTTTTCATATATTTAAGGTTCATATTTGAGTTTGAGTCAAGTGTCAATTCATGGGTTCGAGTCGATTTTGAAAATTTTAGGCTCACGAGTTTTCGAGTCGGGCTCTATTTTAGAATTTTCAAGTCGACTTGAACTCAACAACAATACTTAAACTCGTTTATAGCTCTAATTACAGGCCAACTACTTTCTGAATTACATTTTTTTCCTTGAAGTGCAAATGAGATATAACCTATCAAGCTACACTTAGGGCGTGTTTGGTTCACGAAATGTAAGATTACATTTGGAATAGGATTACTGTGAATGTTGTATTTTGTGTTTGGTTGGTTTAGCAGGAATGCATTATTACAATGTTTGGTTAGAGAAATAAAAGATTATTCGAATGTGTATTTTAACAATTTGTCCTTATTATATATTTGTTTTTTTAACAAGTTGAATTCTACTATAATATTATTATAATTAATTTATATATTTTCTTTAAAAAAATTTAAATTCATAAAATTTATATATATATTTTTTACAAAATTGAAAAAATAAATAGGTTTAATGAAAGGGTAAAATTTTATTTTAACCCCTAAACTTCATATAAAATTTTAATTATGGACTTTTTTTTATAAATCTAAAATAGTTTAAGGATAAATTTGTAATTTAACCTTTGTAGAATTTTTTTTATTCAACGACAAAAGAATGATATTTTTGAAAAAAAAGACATTTTAGTCCAAAACGCCGGGAATGTGACAATACATAAGGGAAAGGGTATTCACATTCCCGGTAATATACCCCAAAATATTACTGTTGGAAATTACTTATTATCGAGTGTTGAGAATGTTTGCCAAACAAACGGAGGAATGACATTCCATTTCCCGATAATGTGAGATGCCTGTACCAAACACCCCCTTACATGAAGAAACATTTGTAATGGAAAGGCAGTTCTGAAACATTTGGAATGGAAAGGCAGTTCTGAAACATTTGAATGTGGATATTAAAGAAACTTATTGGCTTTCGTGTAATTACATTATGAGAGTTACATCTCCCTCAACTGATTTCCCAACGAATTATGCAAGAAGAAGTTAAATCCAACAGCGGCCTCATCTTCCTTCAATAAAAAATTTGTCCCAATTACATTAAGAAATTGTGTAGTCGAGAAAACCCGGATGGCCATTGGAAAAGGAAAAGAAAAACACCCAAAACTGTGTTCCACATGGGAATGGGGAGGACCTACAGACACAGAAAAGAATGTAGCCAACGCTACCACACATTGATGCAATCATTATTTAGTAGATCTGAGATCTCCCCCATCACCACCTGAATAAATTATTTCAAAAAAAAAAAGGAAAAGAAAAGCGGTCCCGTCTGCTGGGTTATGGCCGCACAGCTTGGGCAATACTTTTTTTTCTTCATATGATTCTGTGGATCACACATCATTTTAACGCTAAGGAGTTTTATTTTCAAACACACTCTTCATACATCATTTTGATACTTCGTTTACGGTAAGCTTAGGTAATTAGGCCCCTCCCACATATTATCTACTTTTATTTTTTGTTAAATATAATTATTTATCTACTTTACTGATTCTTCTTCTTAATGTGAGATAATCTAATTCATTGCTATGTTCATGTGCATATTGAACATTAGACTCCATAATTACTATAGAGTGACTGTGGGGTTTGTGTTGGCTTAATCCTTGATATGTGCATTCATCCCTATTTTGATTCATTGTTTTATATTTCTATTTCTTCTTAGAAATTCATCTATATTATCAATTGCTTTTTTAGGGGGCAAAAATAGATCTCAATTAATACCACATGAAATCTATGTATAATGACATAATTTGTTGACATTATTTATCAAAAATTGACAGAAAGGTTGGGTTTGAATATTTTAAAAGATTATTGGAATAAAAAAAAACAAAATTTGCTCAAAAATACAATGATGAGACTTCCAACATGTTTTGTGTCGCCTTCTTGAAGGAAAAAAAACGTCTTCATTAAACGTCTTCATTGATAAGAACTACATGTAGAAAAATTTAAATTAGTTTGAGGTAATTATAAAGTAATATTTATTCATAACTTATATAGATAATTGACAACAAACACCCATCCACCCTGATAACACATTTACTCGGACTTAAAATCTTTAAGAAGAATAATACTCTTTATGATCACCGTTTAATATGTTTGAATTAAAAATGTTATATAGAGTATGTTCGTATACAAACGAATTTATGTATAGAAATAGAGATTAGGTGAATTAAAATAAAATGGTAGCCATAATTGGTTGAAGTACAAGTTAACTCTTCCTACAATCAATTTTATGAAACAATGGCAACATAACCGTGTCTATTATTTCAGAGACGACTCCATTTAAACTAATTTTTATAAATGATTTCTGAAAACGAAAAACATGCAGCATTGATCAAGCATTTGTCAAAAAAAAAAAGACTTTTAATTGCTTAAGAATTATAATTGTCTGTCAACATAATTAGATTGACTCGTTTTTTATTTTTAAAAATTAAATTATCTATTTATAATTTTACTAATAATTGGATGGCTCGTTTGTAATCTTACGGATAAGTGGATAACTTGTGTAATTTGACCCAATTATAAGAAAACCATTAAAAATGCTTCCTAACTGAGCCTCCTAATGACTAATAAAATTTTAATGACTCAATGATCGTTGATGACAATCGATTATTTGAATGATTAGTTTATATATTTTTTAAATTAAGTTACTCATTTATTATCTTTCTAGCAATTGAATGACTTGTGTAGCCATTTATTCTATTCGAAAATTAACATTCATAGGCATTGAAAATGGTGTCAATTAATTGTCCCCAAATATAAAGGAAATAAAATTGGAAAACGTGACTTTTAAAGACTCCCCTAACAGAAGATGAAGTTGTTTTCGGGAACATGTGTTTTAATTTCCTCCATTTCTTTTTATTTTTAATTTCTTTTTCCCCCTTCTTTATTATATTTTCGTCATTGGGCCGACAATGATAGGAAACAAAAATGATTAAATCAATTTAAATTTGAAATCTTAAAAAAAATTAGCTGATCCTTTTTTTTCATATGTAATAGAGTAAGGGGAGGTAGGATAGTAGACTGCCCTCAACACCAGTTTGGGAGCAGCTTCCGTGGGCGACCTCCAAATTATGAATTGCCTACCATGAGACTCGATCTCACGACCCCAATGTTAAGAGCCTTGTGCTCTACCAACTGAACTGGACGAGAAATTCAAAATTTGAAATCTTCATTTCATGAATTTGAACTTAATTGGCACAGCAAAAATAATAATTTGAAATCAAAATAATTTCTTTTTATGAATAAACAAACAGATAAAGGAAACTTTAACTCAAAGATCGATAATTTTGAATTTAAAACTATTGATTTTTGAGATTTAAACAAAATTAATTAGAGTTTTATTTATGAAAATTAGTTAGAGTGTATTTCTAAGAATTTTCCGTCCAGTTCAGTTGGTAGAGCGCAAGACTTTTAACTTTGTGGTCGTAGGATCGAGTCCTACGGTAGACAATTTATAATTTTGACTGCCGGAGGTCTTCCATGAAAGCTGCTCTCAACCCGTTGGGGGCATCCTACTACCTTACCTCTCCTCACCCCATTATATATAGGAATAGGATCAATTAATTTTATAGTTAGAGTGTATTTCTAAAAAGAGTTAAGAGGGTTAAATACAAAGGATTCAATTTTAAGATAATTATCATGTCAAATCCAAGTGATTGTGAAAATATATTATTAGCGTCCTATTCACTGAAATAATGTTCATTCAACATTTTATTAAAATATTTAAAATAATATCATATTTATTTTTTGGGTTTATTTCTTTTCTCTTGTATCAATCAACTCCTTTATCACTAAAAATTGAAATAAGAAAATAAAAAATTATCCTTGCATACATATCAAGTGACAATAATTACCTAGTAACGACTACTTTGAACAATTTTATATCAACATAAATTTATCTATGTCGTCTATTTAATTATAAAATGTGATATAATTAGAATTTGAAACATAAGCTTATAATTTAAAATAGAGAAAATAACTTCAGTGACCAAAAATCCTAGATAATATACGATTTTGACCAATTTTATAATTAAAATATATAACATTTAGTAATGTATCATCTAGATGACTAGATCTTTTCTAATCATTAGATCTCGTACATATATAACTGGATATTGTTTAAGTAAAGTCTCAGGTTTGAATTGTTGTGTATGTAAAAAATTCACTCATCCACTAAAGCCAATACAACTCGAGTCGGTACAGATTAATCAAGACGAAACATTGGAACTGGAAGGTAATAAAAAATAATGAAATAATAATATAAATGTATTTTTTATATAAAAATAAAAAATATTATATATATATATATATATATATGTTTAATCTCACATCTTTTTGTATATTATACCGATAGGATAACAAGTGTAGATGTGTAACACAAGGGTAATAAATTTTTGGCCTATTTATTTGTATATTTCAGCCGCTGCATGTGGTTTAAACTGTTGCTTGACGCCACCTCTTTCAAAAAAAGTAATAAAATAATACAACCATTTAATTTTGCTCTCTTTACCTGTTACCACTTAGATTTTTTTCCTCTTCTTCTCTATTAAGCCACCGACTCTTCTTCTTCTTCTTCCGATGGACACCTCAGCTGAAAATCAGAGCCCTTCTTCGTCAGACGTGGATGTCACGCCGCGTGGAGCATCCTCATCCGTCCTTCGGGCCCTGCAGTTAATCCAATACGACGACGACGATTCCAAGCTTCAAGCCGCCAAGGAAATCCGCCGTCTCACCAAAACTTCCCAGAGGTGTCGGCGGCTTCTCTCCGACGCTGTCATCCCACTCGTTTCTATGCTCCGAGTTGATTCACCTGAGTCCCACCACGAGTCCGCCCTTCTCGCCCTCCTCAACCTTGCCGTTAAAGACGAAAAGTACGTTCACACTTATTAATCTCCACAATTAACTTTGTTTATTATGAATAAAATTTCCTAACTCGCCAGTTTCAAATTACGTTTTTCTTGATTCGGACGTTCGACAATTAGTTTAATGATTTGGGGTAGTTTTTCTTGGGATTTGGAGCTCGTAAAAGATTGATTTTTCACGTTGATTATTCTTCACTTTAAATGTTTCTATTTTCTTTTTTAACATGAGAAAGAGTAATAACAATTTATAAAAATATATATTTCCTGATTGGCTATTCAGAAAAGCTGCATAGCAGAGCATCAAAATATGATTTCTTCTTTTCTTTTTTTTCCCCAGATGATTTTGACCGTACAATTTAATAAAATATAATCCTTAAGAATAATAAAAATAGGTTTTATAAATAAAATAATTGGAGAAGGTGGTATCGATGAATCACGCTATTTACCTTTCTTTTCATTTATGGTTCAAACTTTAAAGCGAAGATGGATTCAATTCTGGGATTATTCTTGTTCATCGCGGGATTGTTCCTTTACAAAGAATTAGGTGCTTCTTTTCCTCTCCGTTTTTGGTTGAAGGGTGTATATGTTTTCTTTATTCATTTGATTAAAAAGTGTGGTTATTCTTCTTTTTTTAAACTCTCTTATCTTCTAGTTGAAGGTATCATTTTGACATCATGATTTGTTTGGTGGTGTAGATATATATCTACTCCTCTCCAAAGAGGAGAATTTAAATCCTTCTGTTGTTTACCTTTAGGGTCTATTTTTTTTTTCTTATCAATATAAGTATTCCTTTTGCTTCCTTAGAAATGAAGCAACCCAATTGAAACTTCTATGATCTTGTAATTGTCACAATTTGGTGTTTTGAGTTTGAATGAAGAGAAAATGTTATTAATTTGCATCAAATTGTGCAGGAACAAGATGAGCATTGTGGAAGCAGGTGCATTGGAGGCAGTTATTAGATTCCTTCAAAGTGATAACTTAAACCTACAGGGCACTGCAACAGCAGCTTTGCTCACTCTCTCTGCTTCTGTCAACAACAAGCCGATCATCGGCGCATCCGGTGCCATTCCTCTGCTTGTACATATCCTTGGACATGGAACCACACAGGCTAAGGTTGATGCTGTGATGGCTCTATCCAATCTCTCGACGCATACAGACAATCTTACCGTCATTAAACAAAGCAGTTCCATCCCTGCCATTGTTAGTTTACTGAAAGCCTCGAAAAAGTCTTCGAAAACAGCGGAAAAATGCTGTTCCGTGATAGAATCCTTGGTGGGTTTCGATGAAGGAAGAACAGCTTTGGCGGCTGAAGATGGCGGAATATTAGCAGTCATCGAGGTGCTCGAAAACGGCACTGTCCAGGCTAGGGAACATGCCGTTGGGGCACTGCTGACTATATGCGAGAGCGACCGATGTAAATACCGGGAACCGATTCTTAGAGAAGGTGTGATCCCGGGAGTACTGGAGCTAACAGTGCAAGGAACACCAAAATCTCAGACAAAAGCCAAGACCCTTTTGAGGTTACTGAGGGAGAGTCCATATCCGAGATCGGAGCTCGAACCGGACACACTAGAGAACATTGTTTGCAACATAATCTCTCAGATCGATGGGGACGAGCAGTCTAGTAAAGCAAAGAAGATGCTGGCAGAGATGGTGCAAGTCAGTATGGAGCAGAGCTTGAGACATTTACAGCAAAGAGCTCTGGTTTGCACGCCAACTGATTTGTGACTGTTTTGGTGGGGTTTAATACGTAAAGTTTCATAAGCATATATAGTGAAAAATGCCGGTCCAGGCCGCATGTGGTGGTTCGGGTGACTGGTAAAAGATGTGAATAAACTGGGAATTATGTGTTTCTAGTTTGCTTGTGTACAAGCAATCAAGGTCTTTCTTCAATTTTGCATTTGGAACACGGAAAATAGGTCAGCTAAAGTTGCTATGAATTGTTATAGGAGATGGGGGGCAGCTTTGCTTTCCATTGAATTGAATAAAGTTGTTTAAAGTTCATCCACATTTGATAACTTTGCCACTATTTTAACTCATCTTTATCTTCTCATTTTCCAAAGTGGGTTCATTTTCCTGCAAATTTAATCAGCATCACCATTATGGTATTGGTAGCATCCAATGGTTTTCATATTCCAAAAAAGTAAGGCAGTTGAATACTGGGTTAATTTAACACACCACTGCAGTGCATTCGTATATTTCAATATTTACAATAAGTCTCTATTCAAAATTAAATAAATTATTTAAAAGAAAACTAGTCAGGGGGCTGATGCCGACTTGCTACAACTGATCTGCCAAACCAATTTCACCCTCTCCTCGTTGAATAAAGCTCACTCGCCTCTGTTCATTCCAAATCATAGAAATAATTTATATTAAAAAATATATATAAACCATTTAATTAGATTTAAGTAACCTTCGAATATTTCTATATGTTTAACCAAGAAAAAAATGTACACATGTTATGGTGCAAAGACGAAATATTCTTCAAAACTTTGGGTGCTAAAATTTGACCAATAAAACATTGAATTATATTCTATATTCGTCTAGAATTACATTTCAACATAATTTAAACTATTTATGTATAAAATATTTTAAATTGTTTGTTAGGAACAATTTTTTTGTTATTATAAAACTAAAAAATATTAACTAAAAAATCTAATGAAAAATATTTTATTCAATTCAAAGGTTTCCCTAACTCATTTTTTATATATATTGCAAGTTAGAGATAGATTATAAATAAATTAACTCATCAATCAACCTCAATGGATAAAGGAAGTGTTATTTTCCTTAGAGGTATTGAGTTCGAGTAGTTACATCAACAAAATGTATGTGTTATCAATAGCTAAGATATTATATGGATAGATACTAACTTGTAGTCATCTCAAGTATTTAAAAACTAAATAAATTCCTTCACAAATTTTGAGTTTTGATAGGTTTAATTCACATATTATATCAAAGCATATAAATCATATTTAAATTTAAATTTTAAGTTTAATATGTTTAGACACTTATCTCATATGTATAATTATATGATTAAGAGGCATGAATCAAGTTATCTTAATACTTAAAGGGATAGTTGTTGTCTTTAGAGGTTTCGAGTTTGAGTAACGCCTCTGTAAATGTCAGAGGTAAAGAAACTATATGATTAATAAAGGGACCATAGAACACGGTTCATATCTAGAATTGATGACCTTTAACTATCTATTTTTTTATCCTTTAACAACTATTGAATATATTAAAATATAACAAGAAACAAGTGGTCTCGATGGTAAAGAAACTATTGTTATTCCTTGAAGTCTCAGGTTTAAGTGCCAGAAATGTCAGAGGCGTGAATGTTAAATGTCAAATGATTGAGAGTTATTTTTGAACAAATACTACATTATACTTACCTTAGATTAATCATATAATATTAAACTTTGAAAATGAGAAAAAGATTAATTACTCTTTTCGTTTGACATTTTTATTTTGACTTTCAAATTAAATTAACTTTCTCATAAATAATGTCAACGTGAAATTAAAATTCAAACAAGGAGGAAATTTTCTAACACCTTAACTTACGTTTATGAGAGGGAAAAAATAACCTTCAAGATTATATATGGTTTTAAATGGTTAGGCTATTTTCTCTATAAATACCACATTCATTGTAAAAACGACATTTTTAATCAATTTAGTTCATTTATAATGGTAATATTTTCTAATTAATCTGGACATATGTTCTAAAGGTTCCTAATCATTTGATAAATATTTAAATCCTAAATGTTATTCAAGAGACCTAACATTTGATCTTATCATATAAATTAATAGCTCTAAAAAAATTAAATGTTAAATAAAAACTCAATAGAACCATAATCACAAATCATAGCAATTTGAAGGACCAATTATCAGGACTACATATTTACAAGTCATGCTTATTCGAGATAAATCATGAACAAGTAAAGTTTCATTCAGATTGACTCGATTCAAAGTAAAAGTTTTAACACTAAAATTAACTATTTTTCAGCTTCGGTTATAAAGACATTAATATAAATACGTCTTAAGCAATTTCATTAATTTGAAATAGCTAAAAAAAGGGTTATTTAGGCATTTCAAAGAAATTTTAAGAGCGCAGGCCAAGAGGGTGATGAAAACATGTGTTCATGACTTATGAGTGATAGATTTGTGAAGAAGGGGAAAAAGGGGTATAAGATCAACTTCACTAATTATTCAATTGATACCTAAATTGAGAAGAATATTGTAGATTTTGGTAAAGTGAGACTATCCGATTGGTGAGTTCATGTATTGCAGATCTCTGAAGTTGACCCATCTTCTTGGCTAGCTACCAAAACAACCTTTGCATCACTCACCAAACCATTTTATCTATTTTAAACAGCCATTTTAGCAATTAATCACTCCATTTATTACAAATTAACATGTAGGCCCAAAAAAAGCATTTGAAATTCAGTTGTTAGCTTTACTTAACATGTGAATTCCTTTATTTTTACAGTAAGTTCACCTAATTTCCAGGATTCTCTTTGTTTGATATTGATTGAAGTAAATTATAGAACATTAAAAAAAAGGTAGGAAAAAAGAGACCATACCTCACGTTTGGCCTTAAAGTTTTCTCCAATGCTACCAAGGCCGGACTTCCACGGCGCTGCTTCACGGTGGATTTGATTATCGGCACCATCGCCGAGTTTTTCAATATAAAGATCGAGGATCTTATCGGCCACCTCGACGCCATCTCTGCTCTCTTCCACCAACTTGGCCATTTGAGACTTGGGCAGCCTCATTTTGACGGTCATCAATCCCCCGGACCCTGCAGGTCCGACCCCATCAGCCCCTAGGCTCGACGATGCTCGAACCATGGACACGTCGGAGACCGTTCTTCTCGACAACATCAGGCACTCTAATCTATCTTTAGCGCTCATATGAATCCCTCCCGAACGGACTCTCCTGGGTGCTTTGTCTTCTTGTGGAAACCTCGGCAGCTCCACCAGGAAGTAGATTTTCTTAGGCTTCAAATCCTGTTGTGGCTCTAGTGGCTTAGCACGAATCCCGTAATGCTTGACGGCCTCCGATTCCAACAAAACATGGCCTGGGTAATCCTTCACTACGTCCCAAGCTCGAATTGGTGTCTTTAACTTGATAGTTTCGCCATCGATTTTCATCACCTTCGCCTTCTTTCTTCCTCCTATGCTGTTCCCCATTCTCCTTGATGGCGTAAAAGAAGTGGTTTTGATTTGGGAAATTTGTAGTGTGCTACTGTTTGGAAGGGTTCAAATTAAACAGTGGTGTGAATTGGAGAAATTTCAGAAAAGATTCCGAATTTGTTTAAGATTTGATGATAGACTTTTTTGGGAGATTAAGGTGTGAAAACTCAATTGTGACTGCGCTTGTAGGAGACAAAAGAGAAGGGGGTGCGGGTGGTAATTGAATTGATTTTGCCAAACAAACTTTGAAATGGCAATCGCACTTTATTAAGCTGAAATAGTGGGTGGGGACATCATGAAATGCAGGGGGAAGGATAACCTTTGAAACCAGGATAAGGATGAATCCAAGTTTAACGCGACGGCTATGCCCATTCACTTTTCCTATCTATATGACTTGACCTATTAATATCATGTCATAATGTGGTTTAGGCTCAATATTTTACCATCCTTGCCATGTTTACTTATTCTCATCTCCTTCAAATCTTTTTCATTAATTGTATCCCCGTTATTATTCTTTATTTATCAAAAGAGTTCTATATCCTCGATTTCAATCTCTTGGCCTATGCATTTGTTATCACTCTTTTGTTTATTGAACGATTCACATAGCTTCAGATCAAATATAATCTCTTAATATTTTCATTGGTAAAATTCACGTAATTTGCAAGAACTAAACTCATTATTTGATAACATATGTGTTTGTCTTGTCTATCCATGGATAATTATCACGACTTTAGATCTGACATCAATACTAAAAGTCAGTAACTCAATATATAAATCACCATTTACGATTGGTGACAACCCCATGATCATATTCTCTAACTTATAAATCTACTTATTACGACTCTATTCAAATGGAAAAAATGAAACCCGATAACAACCCGACTTCTCCTACCAACACACTTCATAACGCCTAAATCTTAAAATCATTGACTTTTAGAATTTAAAATTTAATTCAAGTCATCTCTCCCTACTTAAATAACAAGCAAAGGGGACAAAGGCCCCGAATCCTGCATTTATTTTAATCCCTTGTATGTACATGGAGACTTTACATATACGTGTACGATATTTTTATATAGGAAACATCCGACAGTATTATACACTGTTGGAGAACATGCCATATGCTCTTCTATTTTAAGGCTTTTTCATTCAATAAATAGACTAGTTTTGGACGTTTCTATTTTAACGTTTTGCATGAGAATGTTTATCGGTAGCTACATTTTTCGTTCATATTTCAAGCTACCTAATTAAGTACCACATCTTATTGTTCACATTACTGCGTACTTAATGATTGATTCGTTACCGATTAATTTGAACAACGAAGTGTATGATTGGGTTCCTGTACCTTTGAATATTGCACGAATGGCTAATCTAAATTTGCTTATACAACTCAAGGCATATGTTTATTTAAATTTAAATTAATTTACCGAAAGTGAATTCATTGAGTGACCTTAGGTAATAAAATAGGATATTATTATCTTTAAAAGTCCCAAATTAGATCAACTGCATATACATGATATGTATGCATTCATTATCAATTGATTAAGATAGTAAATGAGTGTTATCTTATAATCACTTAATCACTGTTTACTAAATGAAAAATTAATTTACTGAGAATATAGTCGTTGACGCCAATAACATTTTGTAGGGCGGGGTGGAACATTGCAATCCGTTATACGTCAACGTAAAATGAGAAACATTAAAATGTACCTTTAATTCCTTCTTATTTTAAGGATATATAAACTGTTTAAAAGAAAGGAAGCATGCTTAACTCTCAATTTTACGATACTATTCCCATCATTGCAAGTTCGCTCAAGATGAGGATCCATCCCTTTATTATTATTATTATTTTGAACCGACCCCTTTATTAATTTAAATTCATTATAACTTAGATATATTTTTAATTAAATTGGTTCGAATAAATTAAAAAAAATATTAAATAGTTCATAGAAATCAAAACTTCGGTTCATATTTGGAAATTGATGAACAAATATAATGTTTGATTATAATACTCAGTTGAGGTATTTATTAAATTTCCAAATTTTGCAAGTTTGAACTATCAAACACTTGATGGGATTCCTTCCATGAGTGTGTGGGGGTGTCAAGTTTCAACAATTTAAATATGAAATAAAATCATAGTAAATATTGCACCATGAATGGTTCACATGCATGGACCAACCATCCGATCCTAAATTAAAAATATAATCAGATCGGTGATGCCGCCGGCTTGATTTCTTTTGGTTGATTTGACTTTCTCGATTTTATAGTTTCATGTCCGCTTAAACATAAGTATATGTTTTCGCATTTTTGTTTACTGTTTTGTCCACCCTCTGATGGTTAAGTTTAGCTGCATTATCTATGAATCTGGATGAGAATCAGAGAACCTTTAGGTAATTGATTTTGGTTAAACTACATCATTAGTCATTAATTTAGTACTTTTTTAATTTTAGTCAGAAAATTATTCTTTTTAAACAAAATTATCACTAATGTTACATTTTTTATTTGGATTATCAAACGTTAAAACTTTAATAGAGACGTTGACATGATTTTTTTTCATTTTTAACATTATTCTCTTTCTCCTCATCAATAATTTATTTTATTTAGATAAAAAAAGTCCTAAACTCTAATATCATCGCCTCATAATTATTTTAAAAAATAACACGTGGGACGCTAATGAAGAGAAATAGAATGACACGAGAAATTAAAAAAAGTCAAAAATATATATCAATATCACCCTTAATTTTTAACGACATGATACTAAAATAGAAAAAAACATAATGTTAGTGATGATTTTGTAAAGATAATTAATTCAGTGATCCAATGAAAAGACAATAATAGATTAGTGACTAATGATATAGTTTACCCTTAAGTTTATCATCATAATAATTAATTAAGATAACAGGAATATTAATTAGGGAATGCAGATCATCATTGATTTTGTCATGATTCAATCCAAATGCCACCAATAGGATTAGGCCAAGCGCCTCTATAACTTGGAAAGAGTAGTTGGGTCAAGACGCATTCCTCTTGAAAAGCTCGATCACATGACGCAGAATCATTAACAGTAAGCTCGTGACAGAGTTGAAGTACATAATTTTGTTTAGGAGTTAGAGGTAAACTTAAGAAAAAAATGACAGCTATTAAAGTAAAATCATTAACATTTTAATTTACTTGGGTATTCTTACACTTTTATAATAGAGTATAAAAATGTCATGCACCTATCATTTGAATGTCATATCATGTTGTCATATAAGAAAACGAATGCATCATATTTACGAATCATGGAACACTTCATAATTTAGAAGGTATTAACCATAGTCTAATGAGTTTGGTATTACTGGTATTAAATATGAACTGTTAGTCGTTTTAATGAAGACGCGTAATCCTAATTACAACACAACTCTTAAATTAATTGTCCTCAACATCAAAAATAACTCATTGATTATTAATTAATAATTTAAGGGACTCGATTGAAAAAAATGAAAGTTGCGGCACATGTGGCGGCCGTGGTCGTTTCGGTCACTACAATGGGTGCTGAAGAAGCCGTCCAATCAGCTGCCAGGCCTGGGCCTCACTGTTGACCCAGTGGAGAACTGGTTTGGGCCAGGCTCGAGCTGGAGCCCCAATTGTAGTTACTGGGTCCATGGGAGTTGGCTTATTACAGGTTAGGGTTTTGCGTGTAAAATTGGATCGATCTGAATTCATGAGTTTAGGGTTTGATGAAACAGCTGTTTTTTAAAAATGTCAACAAGAGGAAGGAGGTCCGAAAGAGATGGAAGCTTCTAGTTCTTCCCTTTGGGTTAGGTTTGCCCCTGCTAAGAAACTGCTTGATTTACGGAGAGCATGCACATGGGGGAGTTGGATAAAGACATTCGCCAACCTTGGATTTATGATGGATCCTGCTGTTTTTGTCGCCTCATCAGGACAAGGATTTGGTATGTTGGATGAGATTCCATCCAACTTGCACATTGTGTATTGTATCCATTAGCCTGCACCACCACCACAGTTCATCTCCTATTTTTAACAAAATATTATCATACTCTTCATCATATAATATTATTTTCCAGTGAAACGATAAACTCGACAACTCTTAATGAGATCGTTTCTCAAAAGGATATTAACAAGTAATTTTAATACTATTAAACCAAAATTTTCAAGTATTTATATTGAAAATATTACGAGTAATTGGATCTCTCTTTGCCGTAAATTAAACAACATTTCTAACAACTTTCAACTCTTTGAAAATTGATGATGTAATAGAACATTTGTCATCTCTACAATTGTCGGCTCAATGTAGTTTCTCGACAATATATGTTACGATTGTCCCTAAAATTTCAATCCAGATTTAACCTAAAATAATAAAAATTCTTTGAAAAACTGCACTGGACAAAAATTACATAATACCTAATGCAAAAATGTACATTTAACAATCCCTTTCCCCAACAGATAAATCAGCAAAGCAGTAAAAGAAAAGTAAAAAAGAGGTTTAAAACAGTAAAAGAGGACCTTTCCACTTCCATGATAAAGTAAAAATGTAGAATGTAAGGCCATCTATTAGTTTTCACATGAGAGCGCTTCCATCGTTGAATTCACCTTGCACATCCCTGCTAAAATAATGTGGACTCCATCCCGACGATACCGGAGTGATGTCGGCGGTGTTAGTGAAGCTAGAGGTGATGCTGAAACTGTCCGGTCCCGGGGTTGAAGCCCAGATGAATGCCGGTTTGAAAGGTGGGACATGGGGCACAGCCATGGACCCTGATAGAATCTGAAGGATTGCCTGCGTTTTAGGCCTTTCACTTGCAATAGGATGCGAACATGCAAGACCGAGTAACAACAATTTCTCAGCTTCTTCAACTACATAGTCACTGCCTAGCCGCACATCCACTGCCTCCAGTATCCTCCCTTCTCTATGCAGCCACCAAACCCAATCCACCAAAAGCAGGAATTCGCCTATTTTAGTCCACGGACGTTGCCCGCACACCACTTCTAGCAAAACAGCACCGAATCCGTAAACATCGGACTCCCTGGTGGCCTTTGCGGTGTGGAAACACTCGGGGGCAATGTACCCCATGGTGCCCGGCACACCTTCGAGCTCTGCATAAGATGTTTTCTCGTTTTCTATGGCTCGAGCCAGCCCGAAATCTCCTAACCGGGCGTTGAAGTAGGAATCCAGCATGATGTTGCTAGCCTTAAGATCCCGGTGCACCACTTTTTGGTCGTATTCGTTGTGAAGATAGTGCAGAGCCGATGCCACTCCCGACACGATTTTGTACCTTAAATTCCAATTAAGTGTCGTCTTCTCCGGGCCACAAAATATATGAGCGTCCAAGCTCCCGTTCGGCATGTAATCGTATACTAATAGCAGCATACCATTCTTGTGACACCATCCTGCAAGTTCGTTTAAAATTGCAATAAACTATATATATCACTTGTCTTCGGATTCTTAAAACTGCACCTGCCTAACTCTTGCACGTTACCATGTGATGTTTCATTGGAGAATACGAATGACAATGTTTTTCCAACGAACATAAGTTTCTCATGTTTGGAAATAATTAGTATTTTAACAAAGAGGGACAGAGGAAGAAGAAAAGCAACGGCTAATTATCATGTCAAGTTTTATAAATGGCCTAACTTGACTAAATCTTGAAAATGGAGACAAGGGGATGGAAATATAGGTTACCTAGCAAGGGGACAAGATGCTTGTGGCGCAACCGGTTGATGATGGTAAGTTCAGCCAAGAAATCATCTTTGCCCTTAATGTCACCGGAGAATTTCTTCACGGCGATCTCGAGGTTCTCCTTCGGCAGCAACCCTTTATAGACAACCCCGAATCCGCCTTGACCGAGCTTGTGCTTATCATCAAAGTTATTGGTGGCCTTTTTCAGATCCCTAAACTTGAATTCCCTGGGAGTACCCGGAAGACTCTTGAGTGCTCCCAGTATGTTAGGATCAGATCTGGCCTTCCATTTCCCGTACCAATAACAAGTTAACCCTCCGATTGCCAGCAGGAAAAGAACCACTACTGGTACTCCAACTCCAATCCCAATCTTGATCGAATTCCAACCTTTGCTTTCACCCGGAAGTATTTCGATACTCAAGTTCCATCTGAGAACACAGTTGAGCTGAACATGGCTGCCTGTTGATCCTGAAAAACCAAAATATGTGTTCTGGTTGACAATGCTGCTGAGATCAAGATCAGAGCTGAGAACTGGCTTGGCGGGTTTGGAAGGCGTTGGGGATGAAACCTGCTCCTGCTCGGTCATGAAAACTTGTATCGACTTGTTTTGGCCATTATATTCGATCCATACCACGTAAAACTTGGTGCCATTGGGAGCGATTTGGATGCCGAAATCTGACAAAGACACGGTTTTTTTAGAGCGAACACTATTGATGTTTAGACCAATATGGTTGTCGTCCGGATCAAAATCCTGTTTAAAAGTATCAAGCTCGATGGCAACAAGGCTGTTTGAGGAAAGACCATCGGTGGACGAGTTCGTCAGTCCCAGATACTTTCCTGAACTGCCGGGAGGCAGGGCGGTGTCGGAGGCAATCAGGAAAGTCACACCTTCCCCGGGAACTGAGTTATTCACTCGAAAAACATTGATAAGAAAAGATGTATTAAATGAAGCTACCTTGCGAACTGCATTGTTTTTGGAATCTCCATCCCAGAGCTTGAATGTTTGATTGAAGAAGATTCTGCCGGACCTGTCGTTGAGGCTGAAGTTACCGACGGAATCAGGGGTGATTTGAAGGGCGTCGTTGCTGATTGTAGCCGGCTTTATAACCGCAAAACTATCGTAATAAGAACTGTCAAATGGCCCAAATGGGTACGTTTTTGTTTTCAGATTCTGGGTTTCTGCCATAGCTACCGCCATTAAAAGTAGAATCAAGAACCCAGGAACAAGACCCTTCATTTTTCAAAGATAAGGCTTCTGAAACTTGACAAGGAAGGTGATGGAAGACATGGAGCATCATCAATCTATAGACTCTTTTTTCTTTGAGTGTCTCATTATTTTAATTATTTATTTTATACGAGGCTCCATCCAGGAAAGAAGTTTGACATAAAAAAAAAATCAATTTGGAATTTATTTTTATGACGACAACTTTGCTTACTTTGTGCATTCATAATTTTAGTGTCTGCTTTTGTAGAAAACTACTTTATTCATGCATGTTACCGTCCAGCTGCTGAGATTTTCTCTTTCTCCCTCTCTTTTTAAATTCCTTTCCCTTTACTTTTCTTCCCATTAAAAAAGAAAATGCCACCAATGGATATTGAAAGATTGTGATTTATTTTTAAAAGGAATTGTTGAATGGCATCAGCTCATTTATAAAGTTGTAATATTTCAAGGCTGTTTAAATTTTATTGGAGAACTAAAAATAGGTTAACTGTTGCTATAAGAAAACCTGGTTGCTTTATTTTTTCTTTTTGGTCTACCTCTTTATAATTTATGTCAATTTTATTGGTTAATCCAATTTTTTCTTCTTTAATTTTGTTTAACCGGCGACGATATCGGTATTGATCCTGGTTGTCAACCATCGATTATCTTTATTTTTTAATAAAAATAATTATGTCTTTGTAATATGTTCTCTGTCTTTATGGTAAATTTATCTCTATTTTTGTAGCACGTTTTTCTCTGTCTTTTGATAGCTTACGGTTTTTTACCGTTGTTTTTTGTTTTTCTTTTTTTCTCATGGTTGGATTTGACATCGCCACCACTGATCGAGATGGCGTTTATTTGTTATCATGATGATCTTCCATGCTTTGAACCTCATATTGATTTGGATACGCGTTTTGCGCTCGTTGATAGTTTTCCCACATCACTTGATTCTGATTTACGATTTGTCGGTGACCTTCAGTAGTTTTATCCCTTTTTGTGATTCATTTGCCGATGCAGTCAGATTTATTTGTATCTTTGTTTTATTTGAGCTTTGGTTAGGTTTTTTTAACATTTTCTTTTATGGTCCTTGTGTGATCTAGGTGGCTAGCTTTTATGTCAATTGTTATAAGAAAATGTCCTAATTGTAATTTAGTTTTTGTTTATGATTATATTCATAAATATTTATCGTAATTCTGAATGTTTTCTATTTTCAATAAAACTAACCGCTTTTTATAAAAAAAAAAGTATTGGAGAACTGGCGTGAAGGAGACAATGTAAGATTTGGTAAAACTTTGCATTAGATAATATAGAAAAAATATACAACATGCATGTCCATCAATTAAATATCATTTACAAGTTAATTATATGAAAAACATTATTGTTTTATGGATATATGAGTCAAGTGAAACTTATATTAAATAATATAAAATGAATTAAAAACATTTAAAATAGTTGATTCATACATATATGAATTAATTATTTTTATTTAAAATTAAAATAATAAATTTGAATCTCAATAATTATTTTTGAATGAGCTTCTATCAGCGCTTCTATTGTTCTCTCTAAGGATGTGTTTGATTTCTTTCAATGAGCTTTTACATTCATGGATGATGATTCTTATTTGTGGGTCTTTTGAATCTTCATCCTTCAGGGCATCCATACTAGTTTTGATGTAATATTGACAAATTATTAATTTAACTAGGTGATTAAATATTTAAACACGCGTGTAAGAGATCTTCGCTTTAAATTGTTCTTTACAATAATATTTTACTTTTATGGTGGCGAAAATGTTTAATGGTTGAACAAATGGATAGTCTAAGGTAATATATTGTCCACTGTCATTTCTCCGGAACCAATATGTTAGTTTTTCCATCCACGGTGGATTTAGAAATTTGAGAACGAGATTCGAAATTTTAATGTTTTTTTTAAATAATGAGTATGCAAGAAGTTTTATTTTTTAACATACTAAATTAAGTTTTACATTTTTTTCTTAAATATGGGAATGCACTTGACTTAGTGCATCCACCCCTTATTACCACGCTTGACATGGTTAGAGACTATAATAAATTTTCTACTTAGTTTATGAGCGTCGGAGCTTTAAGGGTTCTATTCCCCTCTAAACAACACTACTTTATTGATTGAATGAAATCAATAAAATGGCAGATGAATCGGAGAAAATGACATAAAATTAAGATAAATAAATAAATTTATATCAGGATAACCATTAATTTGTAACTGTAAGCGACTAAAAGAAAAAAAAACATGATATTAATGATAATTGTATTAAGAAATTAATTTAATTCTTTTATGGTACACTAAAAGTTTAGGTCAATGGTAGCTCCCTCAGTTCAGGGTCAGGCATACCTAAGACTTAATTTAAATTTATATAGGAATTTACATAGAAATTAATTAAATAATTAAAGTAGAAAAGTGATAATAATTTAATGGCTAATAATATAATTTACGCAATAAAGTTCCAAGTAAGTGAATCAAACGCGGAATTCAAAACTATTTTTAGAGCACACGTAGGTGAAACATTCTTTCAATCATATCCACAAAGCAACTCATGTTCTAGCAATAAATTATGTTCATACCCACTGGTTCAATGAAATTAGGGGTTAAAGGCATGGTTCAATCACAAATATTTTTATTAGATTAATACTCAAGTTTTTAAAGCTTTTGAAATATATTTACTTCAAAAAAAAAGATTTTAATATCTATAAATTTATTTGAGACGTTCTTAACAACACGACCTGAAATCTCTAAAATAACCTTCTTGTGGTCAATCACATTTGCACCATCCTATACATATATCACACACGGTCTCAAACCCTATACGTGTACCCTTGCAACATCATATGTGTACTTAAAGCATTTCAATTGTCTTTCACTCTGTTCCAATCATTTAAATAATGTCAAAAAAAAAATCTCTAAAAGCATATGATATGTATCGCATTAGGTGGGGCAAATTAAAAAAATAATTGAGATAAATATATGTAAACAAATAATGCAAGGAATTTGTAGTTTAATTAACTAAATTGTTGCTAATCATGTTTATTCGCACAACAGTACTTTTTTTTAAACACTCCCACCGTCCATGCCTTTTTCAGAGTTTGAATCTGATTCCCTTTTCTACATGTACGAATTGTTATTATTTCTGTACACTGTCGAATAAATTTCTTTAATGTTTTTGGTTGTGAATTACAAATGAAATTGAAATTTCTTATATGTCGTATTCTTTATTTGTTGGGATAAATCACATTTTAGCCCTTGAGTTAATTTTCTATATATAGTCAAAAAAAATTATTTGATTAAAGATTAAATAATTGATCAAATATTTTATTATAGATTCCAGTGCTTTTAGTTGTGTAAATTTATTCAGCTTTTGGTTATGCTACTGTGCAATGTAGGTTGTTGAGAATGAGTATTATGGTTGATCCCCTCTGCATTTTGTGTGTTGTTGGTTTGGAGTTCAGGAGTCATTTGTTCTTTCTGTTGTATCATAAATATGTTAATATTTTATATTAAAATCCAACTCAAACCCATTAATATTAACTATTAGACCATTTTAAAAAGAAAAAACCAAATTAAATAGGGTAAATTTTCATATTAGCCACTAAATTTTAAGGTTAATTTTATTTTGACTACTAAATAAAAAATTTCTCAATTAGATTGTTACATTTTCATTTTGATTTCAACCAAGCTAATTGTTAAATCGATAAAGACGAGGGGTAGTTTTAAAATTTGAACAATATCACATTTAATCATTTGTATCTGTACATCCAATCAATTTAGTCTTTATTTAAATTAATTTGATAAATTTAACCCTCAATATTTTTAAAAACTTTTGATTGAGTCTTCATTTTATTTTAAATAATTTAATAAATTTAATTCTCTAATAAGATACGAATATGTAAATAAAACTTGAATAGGTTTAAAGAGGTTGAATACGGGACCTAAATATAAAATAGGATATCTCCAAACACGGATAGAGGGGATGAACAGTTCTGGGAATACGAGGTTTTACGATTTCCTCTTCCAATCACTCTTTATGTCTTATTTCCTCTTTTCTTTTCTAAATCCCTAATAAAAAACTTTCCCAATTCCCATCCCTTTGATTGTTAAGCCATTCCAACATTCGGACTGCAATTGCCCGAGGTCAAATTTCTCTCTTCGATTATCGCTTTTGATGAATTTCTGTTTTAAATTATGCCTTCTTAATGATCAAAAACCGTTTCAATTTCGTGGGTTGTATATGTTCCTGCAGTATGTATGCCGTTGTAGCTGAAGATTTAGGGCAAAATGAACTTCTCTCGAGTCTTTTTTTTTTATTTAAGGATATTCGTTTTTTAATTAGGTATAATGTTAATTCCTGTTTCTAAGCAACGTGTCGTTTTATTTATTTGAAATTAAACGGGGTCTGTTTTGTTCTAAACGGTGCTGGTTATGAAGAGCGGATGGTTAGGTTTTGTTCGTTGTAGTTGGGGAATTTGTAAATTGGGGTTTGCAGGCTTATTATCAGTGTTTACTCGATGATTTGAGCGGTTGTAAGGTTCTTTTTGTAATAGATTAAATCGGTCTGTTTAGGTATGGTTCCTTAACAATGTTTTCTAGTTTCCCTAAATTTGAACCTAATTCATATTGGTTTTTAACTGTTCCGAATTCCCCCTTGGAGACTATGATATGTTTGAATCATCGTTAAACCTCGAAAGTATGGGGTCGTTAGTAGGAAGATGAGACGATTTAACTTCGATCATGTCTTGGTTATTGGTAGATGGGAAATGAGATTTAGATACGAGTTGGATAATCATGTGAATATTGCATAAACTTATGTGCTTGTATATATGATTCTCAGCAGCTATACAGAAATTTTTTATGTGCTTATTCTCTAATCCTTGTGTTGTTTCCAGAAGTGAGAATGCAAGATCCAAGGATGGCACCATCAGAGGGAGATTTGAATCCTAAGACACGGAAAAAGAAAAGCTCCGCTAACAAAGGACCCATGTTTCCGTCAGAATGAAACGAGACTAAGGGGGCTCAACAGGTACAGGGATCCCTAACATTAAGAAAGGGGAAGAAAACATCGAAAAGGAACGTGAAGAATGAAATGTCTCCGATATTTCAGCAACCCGAGAGATCTAACTCAGATTCATTACCAGACTCTTCTACATCTGGAAATGAGTACCGTGCACTGAGGCACAAGTATTTGTTATTGGAGGAAGAAAGCTTTACGTTGGATAAAGAGCTTAAAGAAGTTGAAGATGAGGTCAAGGTTCTTGAAGATGAGAAGCATACCCTACTGGATCAGCTTGTTGTGTTAGAAGGTCTAATAGATCCTTCAGAAATGCAATCTCAGGGTGCATAGTACTATATATATATATTAACTTCATGCTAATCTATATAATTCGTGTGCTTGTCGATTTTTATGGAAGACAAGTGCTGAAGTAATCTGTAGCAGTGGAGGAAGTTAAATGTTTGACCTACAGTCAGTCTTCTTTTAACATTTCAGGCGAAAAATGTTGTAAACATACTTGGAACTTCTGAGATGTTGCCTTGGACTATACACATGAGTAGGGGTGAGCATTCGATCGAGTTGAGTCGAGTAAAAAAATTTCAAATTATTCGAGTTAACGAGTCATATTTCACAATTCAAACTTAACTTGAATTTTTTTCGAATCGAGTTGAGTTTAAGAAATTTGAGTCTAGTTATTCGAGTTTTTATACTAATTTTATTATAATTATTTATAGTAATTTTTTAACTTTGTCTATATATATATATATATATATATATATATATATTCTTTTCACATTATAATGTTATTTAATATATCAAATACAATCTAAAACTATAAAATATATTCATGATATTATATTTTAAAAAAGTATTTTGAGGGTAAGATATTGATGATAGTATAGAGAAATTAAAGAATTGATGAGAAAAAAGAATTTGCAAACGACTGTAGTCGAAAGAATAAATTGAGTAAAATGTAAAGTTAATGGATTAAATAAAAGAAAATTTTAGTAAAATAAAGTAAGAATAGAAGTTACATAGGTATTTACTATGGTATATAAACATGTGGTTCAAATTTAGTAAATAAATGATGAATTGAAGAAATAAGGAATATATGAAGAGTTAAGGAAATTAAATTGAAAAAATAGAAAATTTATTATTAAAAAGAGGAATTGAAAATATACACATTTTATGACGATTTAGGAATATGTTGTTTAAATTTGGTAAAAAAAGGATCAAAATAAAGGATGAATGGAAAATATAAGGAATATATGAAAAGTTGAGAGACTAAATTGAAAAATAATTAATTTTTAATTAATTTTAATTTTTATTATATAAAAGAAATAAGTTTAAGAAATTATTGAAAAGTTTTTTTTACATTGTGCTAGATTATTTAAATTCATCATTACTTTTAAATTAAAAGATATTATATTATATTAATAATATCAACCGAGCTAAATTAAAAGATATTGGATATTATATTATATTAATTATAGTAAGAGAAGGAGGAAATGACATCTCTTTGGGCGCACATTAGCTGGCCTAATGGGTCTCCAGATTTTCTTCTTCGCTTCTGATCTTCCTCTTCGATTTGCTATTCTCAGTTTTCTAGTTTTGTTCTTTGTTCTTTTTCATGGGTTCGGAGTCGCGGAGTTTAGATTGGCGGAAACTGTTTGTGGGTTCAAAAGAGCAGGCTCTAGAGTTTTTCCCCCTGATCTTCAGGATGGCGTTGCTACCGTCAAGCCCCCTTCTAACGTGATAGAGGAAGGCATAGTTGATTGGAATCTCGCTTTAGTGGGGCAGTTCATTGATTTGGCACCCAATTTCAGTTCGCTGCAACGAATCATCGAATCGATTTAGGGAAATTCTTCGCAGGTTAAGGTTAGTTTAGTTGGCCATAATCTTTATGTTTTTCTTTCTTGAATCTTGATCTGAGGGAATGGGTCTTGGATAACGGCCCCTGGCATATTCAGAACAAACCCCTAATTTTAAGAAAATGGGAGCCAGGTCTTCAGAATCTTAGTTTTGATTTGTCTTGTATGCCGGTTTGGGTTCAGCTCATAATGTTCCTTTGGAGCTCTATATTCGCAAGGGCCTCAGTTACATAGCTAGTACGATAGGACTCCCCTGTATATGGATTCCATAACTGCTGCTAGGACGAAGCTGGAATATGCCAAGGTGTGTGTTGAGCTTGAAGTTGGTGGGGTTATTCTGAATTGATTCATGTGCTTTTGAATGGGTCTTCTGTTAGAATCAGATTTCATGTTCCTTGGTTACCTAAGAGCTGTGTTAAATGCAAAGTGTTTGGCCACCATGTCAGTTCATGTATGGAGGCTGGACACTCTCTGAAGCCTAGAGATGTTAAAGTTTGGAGGAAAAATGACTTTTCTAATTCTTCTGCTGATTCTGTATCTATCTTAGCTGCTCATGTTTCTGACCCAAATATGTTTGTGCCTGATCCTAGCTGCAAGGTTGTTCTTGGCAGTTCAAGTGGCGAGGCTGCTCTTGAGAGTAACTGTAATTCCAAGATTGACATGGGGCTGAGTGTGGGGAATGCCATTGAGACCTCTGTGGAATATTTACAGGAGGTTAATGTTGATAGAATGAATTATGCCGATATGATTAATGGTTTTCCTGGTTTGAATAAATCTGTTGCTTTGACTGCTTCTACTGGTGTGCAGGAGCATGTCTTTAGCCAGTGTGGTACTGGTCTTTCAACTAAGGATGTTGGGTTTACTGCCTCCCAGGTTGGTGATTTCCCTCCTCTTCAAGATTCAATTAAAAAGAAGGTTAGGGGTAATAAAAAGAAGGTTAGGGTATGAAAAAGGAAGCTGCTTATGATAAGGTTGATAACTTGGCAGAGGGTTCTAAGAAGGTTCATGTAGCTTCTTTGGGGTTGGCTGTTCTACTCAATGAGATAAAATCTAAGAAAAAGGATCATTCTGACAAAGTCAAAGGTAATGGGGTGAGCTTTGGCTCTGTTAGTGGTGCTCCTTCTGCTCTTCCCTGTTGATTGTTGGATTTTGGAATGTTAGGGGGCTAATAACCCCCTAAAGCAGATGAAGGTTTTGAGGAGACTGATTTCTTTTGATGTTGATGTTATGTGCTTTATGGAATCTCGGATCAGGAGAGATAGCTCTGCCAAGTTTATCTCCTCCTTGTCTAGTGATTGGTATTTGGCTGAGAATTATGATTATGTTGAAGGAGGCAGACTTTGGGTCTTATGGAGGAGGAATCTTTCACTTTCTGTGTTGAGGAATGTGATCAGGCCATTACTATTTCTGGCACTGTCGATGGTCATAGAATTGGTATTACTGCCATCTATGGTAGCAATAATGGGGTTGTTAGGAGAGGTCTTTGGGACCATCTGAAGTCTGTAGAGAATGTTTTGGGTCCTTCCTCTTAGGTGATTGGGGGCGACTTCAACATTATGCTAGCCCAGAGGAAAGTTCTGACTTTGAAATTATAGGAGTGCACTATACTCCTAATATGAGGGAATTTCAGGAATGCTTGGATGATCTTGAACTCATGGATCATCCTTTTCTAGGTCCTTTGTTTACTTGGTCTAACAGACAAGAAGACTCTTTTTTGGCCAGGAAGCTTGATAGGATACTGGTCAACCCTCATTGGATGCTGGATTTCCCTGAGTCCTTTGTTGAATTTAAGGCTCAAGGTGTGTCTGATCACTGCCTGGGTCTGCTTTGGTCACATAAAAGGGTCATGGTTAAGAAGCCTAGGCCTTTCAAGTTTTTTAATTGTTGGACTAGCCATGAGCAATTTCTGAGCACTGTTGTGAATTCCTGGCTGGGCTATTGTGATGGGAACCTATGCAGTGTTTGTTCAGGAAATTGAAGAGGCTTAAGTCTTGTCTTAAGGATTTTAACAAGGAATTCTTCTCTGATATATCTGGTAGAGTTAAGTCCAAGAGATCCGATCTTGAGCAGTTACAGCTTTTCAACTTGTCCCATGTTGGTCAGAGGAGGATGAATGATGAAAGAATTCTCAAAGCTGAGTTGGTTGACCTGGAAATTGCTGAGTCAGAGTTCTACAGGCAGAGAGCTAAAATGCACTGGTTAAAGGATGGTGATTTAAATACCAAGTTTTTTCATCAGAAGGTTGAGTCCAATAAAAAGAAGAACACTATCAGAGTTATTATGAGTGAAGAGGGTCAGTGCTATGAGTCGTTTGATGAGATGGCTGCAGAGTTAGTTAGGTTCTTCACTGATCTTATTGGATTTACTGATCCCATGGTTAGTGGTTGTTCTGTGGAGAACCTTAAGGATCTGTTACCTTACTCCTTGCCTAATGATGCTGCAGTGTCTCTCACTAAGAGGTGGATGGTTTGGAGATTAAAAAGGCCATGTTCAAGCAAGGTAAGGACAAAAGTCCAGGCCCAGATGGATACATTTTTGGTTTCTTCAAAGCTGCCTGGGACATTGTTGGGGCAATTTTATTGTTGCTGTGAGGTACTTCTTTCAATCTTCTGTTATGTTGCAAGCTTTAAACTCTACTGCCTTAGTTTTGGTCCCTAAAACCCCTAATGCTTGTTTAGCTAGAGATTTTAGGCCAATATCTTGTTGTTTTGTGGTGTACAATACTATTACTAGAATTCCGGTGGATAGATTAATGCCTTTCTTCCTGCCATGATTTCTCAGAGTCAGTCTGCCTTTGTTAGGGGTAGGAACATAGTTGATAACACCTTGTTAGCTCAGGAAATTGTTAAGGGCTATTCAAGGAAAAGTCTTTCCCCTAGGTGTGCCATAAAAATTGATTTACAAAAAGCTTTTGACTCTGTTAATTGGGGATTCTTACTTTCTGTTCTTGAGGCTTTGGGGCTCCCTCCTATTTTTGTAATTGGGTCAAAGCATGTATTACCACTCCTATGTTCTCTGTTTCTCTAAATGGGAGCCTAGTGGGTTTTTTCAAGGGTGCTAGGGGAATTAGGCAAGGAGACCCTCTATCCTTACCTTTTTGTCATTGCTATGAATGTGTTGTCTTCCCTTTTGGACGTTGCTGCTAAGCAGAGAATTTTTAAGTTCCACCCTAAATATAAAAGAGTTCCTCTCACTCATCT